GAACTATTTGCCAACCAATCAGAACAATTTATTCCCCTCTAACTTAGCCGAACCTTATTGTATCTTAGAATGTAACAATTTGATGTGTTTCCCTTTATAAAGGTCCCTGACCAAGTCTCTTATCTTCTCCTGTTACACTAGGTCAGCTGTCACTATCATGCTCGGTATGTTTTTTCTCACTTGATAATAAGGAATTATCTATATCAAAGAACCCTCATCGAAATGTTTTCTATAAGCTATAATATTATGTGTTCTGATTTGCTATTATGTTGATCAAGGTATTACTATTATCACCGTTACGTAAAATAAGTCTTTCTGATACCGTATTCCATTTATCAGAAAGTAGAAATGTCAAAATAATCACGTCAAAGAGGAAAAACAAGAGGAAGAAGTGGCATTAACAAACTAACTGGAAAAACTGTTCCTGTAATCTTTCTGAAATTTGACACTCGGTTATATTTTTTAATGTTATGATGATATCGTTTTATAAGGCAATTTTAGCACAAACTATTTTCATCTGTCTGACATGGAAATATTTACTCCGAGAGCCATTTTCTCATAATACGAGGCAATCTGAGCACAGCACCGTACACTACAATCTCTTTGTAGCCATTTTTTATAGTTCATTATTACGACAGTTATAAGCGAAATCAGTTCTGCCTGCAGAATTCAAAAGCAAAAAAACACAATTTATATTTAGTTGGTGAATGTCACAGGTGACGCAAAACAACCAAACATACACATGATAAAATGTTTCTCTGCAGAAGTAATACAATTTTTTTACCTACAGAAAGTTTAAACGAAATTCTATGCGTTCATCTAAATGATTTTTAACATTTAGTGTTTGCTAAGGAAGGGAGAAGATATTTTAAGGTTATTTAGGTTAGTGGTGACTAGCAGTACGATCCAGAAAGCCCATTTCAGCCTGTTTGGGACTCGTCATCTGAATGTGCCTGTATTCTCTTCAAAATTCGAACCCTACACCCATTATTTCCAACGCCAAAGCATTATCCACCAGGTATTGTTTGTGCTTGAAGCCTTTAGACAGAGAATTTTGGTCAAACACAATCGAAAAAAAACGGGAACTGCAAAATTAATCCAAATACAGATATATTTTTAAGCTTCGCAACTGTCTGATGCAGATGACGCCTTACTCAACAATTTCAGTACTTCTGACTTTTTGTGGTGATACTTTGGTCAACGGTTTCCTAAGATTGTATCACTACATACGGGCAGCACTAATCTATCATTCCTGAATAAAGTGCCATTATTAAGCTTCCCGTATGACACAGAGAAAACTGAATCAACGAAATATAGTATACATTAAACGAATATATCAACAGAAGTAGAAACAAACACAAGTAGGGAGTCAGTTTCGAGATTTTTTTGATTATGTTGCACTTAGGTTTGTAAAATCTACCTACATTCTCTGATGAAAGTGTGAATTTAGTGTCTCACAGATATCAGCAGCAATTCACTTGTATTGCCAACTGATTTCATCTGTTAATACATGTTTTATCTTGGTCTGGGGTTGTTTAGCTGTATGTATCCTCCACGTTTCGACTGCTGGACTCTCTGGTTATAGGCGAACACGCAGACCATTCAGTGACTGTGACGCGATTCCATGGCACATGAATTTCATCCTCTGAATGATCTACCAATGCGCCTATAACCGGGAGGCCGTGAGTTCGAACCCCGATGGGCACATAATACTGAAGAATGCTAAACCAGGACGAAAGATATGTCCAGTAGGCCTTGGCTTTCCAGGGGATAACGCTTTGACTTTTAAATCGAAGGATGACGGGCCGGAGACTACCATTCGCTGAAGAATGCAGTTACATCCAGCTGACAAGTCCCGAATAGGATGAAATACACATCCTGGATACCACTGCTAATCGCCATCCACCAAATTATTACAAATACCTGACCGTGTTTGATGGTCAAATTCCTGTCAAGAGTTTGTTTGTCCGGATTTGATTTTTTTCATTTTTGACCACAGATTGATATCAGTTAAAGAACCACTGGAAACCAAGGGGTACTGGAGAGCAGTTTAGTTCTAGTTTGGGCCCCTTTAAAAGTATATACCCACCGGGTTTCGAACCCAAGACTTTCAAGTTATAAGACAAGCTCTTTAATCACTCAGCCACTGGGACCCGACTCACTGGCCAGCCCATGGATTCTTACTTTTAAGAATTCATCAGCTAACTCTGTCAGTGAGTATTTGTCCTCACTTCCGACCCGTAACCGATGAGTTCCAAACTAGGACGAATCATCTTTCCAGTACTCCCAAGTTTCCATTGGTTCTCTAACTGATATTGTGGTGAGAGCAGGCTGCTAGCCAATTGGTAGACATTAATTTACGTCAATGTCTATGTCGCTAATATTGGCCGTGAGAAAATATGAACAAGACTGATTCAACAACCAATCACAGCAGACTTAACGTGGGCAAATATGATTCGCGGATATATGGCTTAACTTTCTGAGAAACCAGTAGCAAGCAGTATAGAATAACTTTGAGCAAGAAACAACCAATCAGAAGACTGTGTTTGTCTGCTTGAATAAGCTATAATAATGTACATGAAATATATATAAATACGTGCTGATTTCTGTAATAAACGATCTGTTGCCTGGACCTTGTCTCCTGTTGTTACAATATCAGTCAGTCTGTAGTGAAACCTGAACCAAATTACTATCAAACGAATATTATACTTGATCATCATATTTCACTGTTTTTATTACTGTTGTCTAAAATTGCCACATAACTCCAGTAGGAGAGATGCCATGTTCCATAAATATCTAATGTTTAATCATCAGGCAGTTTAAAAACACAACCCATTTTGACGTCTACACAAGTTAACAATTAGTTGGACAATCAAATGTAGAGGTACCAGGGATCGAAATTATTTACTTTCGAAATGAGTTTGTATCTTTTTCAATACGCAAAAATACCCATCTAGACGTGTGATAGGATCCTGCATAAAGTAGTGTATCATCATTTCTCACGCATATTGTGATTGATTATGCGAAGAATTAATTCAAACGCTGTTAGCCGTCTTTATTGTTGTAAAGAAAGTGTATAAATACCAAGTGTTGTTTTCCTAATGGGTGATTACAATATACAGTCACAGAGTAACCTTTGTTTTTTATATTTGCGTGGCTCAGTGAATCGGAAGGCACAATGGCCAAATAGGCATATTAGCTAGGCGCAGACATAACAATATGGACTAGGGTTGTCATTCAGTTCAGTGGAGTTATAACAACATGGGAATAAGTACAAGCAGTCAAGTGAAAATAACTGTCGACGAATTCACTGTAAAGAACCGAATAACCATCACACAACTAAGAAAATGTGTTTTGTATACTGGTTAGGTGATTTTGAAACGTTGACATTTGTACATAACAGCAATAGTTCAATTAATCACACTTCAAAGTAAAGGGTAAATAAAAAAAGAAATTCAACGAAACTGTGAAAAAAGAAAATGTGTTGGAGAAAGAATAGTTACATGAAGAATAACAGAGACTACTAGAGTGACGGAAATCACAAAAAGTGAATGCAACTGTGCCAATGAGGTCGATATTGAGCCATTGCATCAACAATCTCCAACGTTGATTCTCAGCATCACCAGTATACAAACCACACAGTATACACTGCCTCAGACCAATAACATGAAGACTTCATGTTTTGGTTTGACCACCCATAACAGCAGTAAGACAAGGCTGTGGACTAGATTATTTGGAACACTATGCATGGAGAGTTAGAAGACAGTAATGCGTTGGACCAATAAGAAGACTCTAGAAGATCTGTAACTCAAGGATGACTTATGTCTGATGTTACACAAACTGAAACACTTACCGGCAAAAACAAACGGATCGTCAGAAGAGGCAGGCAGCAAAGACTGCAAAGGACTCCATGTGAACGCAGCGAAGACTGAGGTGACGAACACAGTGTGGTAATTATTTGTATTCGTAGTATTAGTATTTCGAGATGACCGAATTACACGAATCCAACCAAAACACAGAGAGGGCGGAATTCAGGAATTTGTATTTAGCGGAATTATTATTGCAATTCATATAAGAAACATATTAACAATCAACAGTAAGTACTTAAACAATACAGAGATAGAAATTGTCAATCACCCCACACAGCCAACCAACAACAACAGCAACAATCACCAATCAGTATCAGTGGGGAAAAATTGTAGGAGGTGAACTCCTTCAAGTATGTAGCAAACACTGTCTCAACTACAGGCATGCCTGATGGATGAGGATGTCAAAGAAAGCATCGGAAATCCTAAGCAGACACTGATCCCTATGAAATCAGTTTGGTAATCTTATGAACTCGGAATAAAGAACATGATTCAGAGTTTCACCATCAATGTTTAGTCAGTCAGTTATTCTATACTGGCCATAAAATTGGCACATCACCAGGAGTATTTTCAACCGACTAATGCAGACGTTTATCAACAGTTGCCTAGTGCTGGAAAAATACCCAAAAGAAAACGGAGATGGATCAGAGGAGACAATTAACCCAAGTGGTACTTGGGTTCAAGAGTGGTATAAAAGAGATCGTGAGAGAAGGAGATGAGAGAGGGTAGGCAATATTGGGCCCAGCTAAAGGGGATCGCAGAGAATAGAACAGAGTAGAGATGTGCGGTTCCACTTGAAATCCAAGGGAATAATAAATCCATAACTGTTTCCCAGCCTAATCCTATATCAGCTAACATTACTCAACATTGAGGGAGGCGACGATTCATCATGCTTAACACTCATCCCAGCCACCACAACATTGAGCGAAAGAATCCCTCAGATTAGCTGTAATGAGGTCAAAATAACTGACAAAAAATATTCACATTTATTAATAACAATTCTATTAATATACATAGTTCACTGTACAATATTTACAAAACGTGATTTCTGCTTTTGTTGACTAAAAAAAATAATACTCACAAACTCTGGTCACTTTTTATTTTTAAACAAGTTTGACAAACTTTTCAGCATACCTTTCTTTTCTGGTTCACTGCCCTTCAGTGTGTTTATTAACTTGGGCTGTACAGTCCGAGCAAGTCTGTTAGCTTTAGGACTACTACTAACAGACAATGAATGTTTATATGTAGGTGAGCTTACATCTCCTAGGCATAATAACGATTTCGAACAAGTATTCAAGTAGCTTTCAACTATTTGCGCTGCTTTAAATTCATAACGATCCGCAAAGGCTATAACAATTTCTTGTAGTGCATTTTTATGCCTCAGTGACATTTGAACTGGTTCAGGCATGCGGTAGTCTGACAAATTTATCGCCTGATTACTACACATTGCCAGTTGGTGAGCAAAAGCTATCTCATAGATTGTATGCCTACGCTCTGATTGCAGGCTGTGTTGTTTTTCGTTAAAGTAATCAACAATCTCAGTGCTTAAAGCCATAGCATCGTCAGGATACCCATTGTCATTGCATATCCGTGATATATGTATAACAATGTCAAGCCATTGATTCTCCTCTTTGGGCAGAAGGCAGTTCAAGATATTAACGGCCAACTGCATCAGTTTAACGCCTTCTTTAGGAAAACTCCATTTGACAAACATTTGACCAATAAAGTAGTATTGTCGTGCTAAGGTTGACTTCATTTTGGGATTATTTATCTGCTGTTTAACAAATATCGACAAGGCTTCATAAACAACTTCGGGTGCTTTAATATGATCACCTAGACCATTATACGCTAAAGCTAGACAGACTAGTGTTGTTGAAATAATCAGATGTTCATCACCGTAAACAGTTCGCCGATATTTTAATACTTGATTTAATAAATTTAAACAGTGTGCATATAATTCTTCTTCATAAAATCGCTTAGCTACTTTTTCAATCAAAGTAGCATGTGTAGATAAATCTTCAGTGTCTGGTGTTTCGATTGATTTCACAATGTCCAATGCATCTTCAATTGAATTAGTTTCAATACAATGAAATATTCTGTACATATCATTTGAATAGGTGCCAGCATATTCAGAATTCCAGTAGGAATCATACTGTCTAGATTCATTCCACAGTTGTCTGTCATAAAATATCGAGTTAACCTCATACAAATCCATTTGATTCAGCGTACACATAAACTTCCAGTATTCAATCTCTTCACAGATGGCAGCATGCTTAGTTTGTGTTTCATGAATTTTCTCAATACAGCCCGCAATGTTTAATTTTAATTCCCTATTTTTACGTATTAATAGTTTCAGGTTGTTGCGTGTATTCACAAGCCAGTTGTTTGCAGTTTCCACAAATTCACTAGATGTCAGTAGCAATTGAAGTGAATTATAACCAATACTACTTAATTGTGATAAACACTTTAATTTTACCTCATAATCACAGTCATCTTTTTATCGTATTGTTTAATTAATTTTAGGATATTTGAAGAACTGGCTGCCAGTTTATCTATATTATATTTTATTGTATCAAGTAGCTTATTATTATTATTTTTCATGTCAGCATTAATCCCCAGTTCACTTTCGCATTCTCTAGATTTATTACCAAAATGCATCATGTTGTATGTGGCTTATACTTCACTAAACTAGATAATCGATTACCGGTGGTTCGATAAATTTGAAATATACTACAAATTATATGTATATATTTATATATATCGCCTTCGACAGCGCAGACCGAGAAGTAATTTGGAAAATGCTTCAACACTATGGCGTGCAGTACCTAAGTGTTTATCAACATCATTCAACAGCTGATTGGCTATATGACAATGCCTGCCACCTGGCGAGTGATCTACAGCGGAAAATCCACTCAGTGAGGCGTTTGAATTGAATACAGGAGTAAGACTAACTGGTTGGCTGCCTATTATCACCGGTGATATTCTTAATTGTGGTGGACTGGCTCCAGGCTGTTGAGGGCGAGGAGTCAGGAATAGGCTGGACGACTAATAAGAAGACTCCAGAAGATCTGGATTTCGCGTGTGGATGATATATGTCTAATGTCACACAAACTCGAAGACTTGCAAGCAAAAACTAACAAACTGACTGAAGAGGCTGATAGCGAGTACAGGACTCCGGGCGAAGATAGATAAGATGCAGGTGATGAAGATAACCACAACCACCAGCAACAACAGCCAGCACCAATCACCATCATAGGGAGAGATTTAACAGAGGTTACCTCCTTCACTTAACCGGCTAGGAAGCATCTTTTCAACTATAGGCGGAACTGATGAAGATGTCAAAGCCAGCCAGCCAGCCAGCCAGAACAATCGATATCTCTGTTTCGAAAAAATACAAATGAGTGCATCTGGAAATGTTTTGAAAAATGTCATTAGACAATGGCTGTTGCATTTTTGTGAAAAGTCTATCTGTGGAAATTATGTCACTAGATAAAATCTTGCAACAGAAAGATTTTCATGGATTTATAGAAAATTCCATAGTACTTTTGAAGTAAGTGCAGTGTTTAGAGTTATGTTATTTTTTTCCTTCAGGTTCCCAGTGGAACATAGAGCTTCAAGCTAGTGGCTTGAAGTTTCTGTAGCGGTGTTTAGTTTTACAGGATGGGATTGCTAGCCTCATGCCCAAACTTTCCCCTTTACCAGAATTATTTTTGGCTTAGTGAGGTAAAGGAGTGCGTTGGCAGGGGATCAAACCCCGGACCATGTGCATGGTCGGCGAGCGTCCTAGCCGCTATGCCACCGATGCACATAGAGTTATGTACGTATGTGAAATCAAATCGTATTTTTTATAAAAAACTTTATCACGACTTGAGTTTCAGAAATTAGGTGTAATTATATATCTATATTTATTGAGTATCATGAAGTGCCTAGGAATCAGTTGATTTGTTAACAGAGGGTTTTCACGGAAAAACTAAACTAGATGGACGCTCAACAGAACATCAAGCAGCGAAATTTTAACTCGTTTCGGTTCCGAAACTCCAAATGTTTGAGTACTGTTACTTGACATTATCAAGCTGTCATGTGAGCAATAAAAAATAAAGGAACATGTGCATCAATTGCCTGCTGGGAAAAATGTTTCTCACGACAGGAAATATTACCCGAAGTAAGTAAGGCTGTACCATGGAAATTGGACGACAACACTTACATCGTTTAAATGGTGATGATTTCAGCCCTGGTTTATGCATACCAGTACCAACAACAGGGATTTTCTTTTAGCGGTATGCAACAGAACAGGCTGCAGCTACTTTCGTGCATACGAATCGATATTTCATCATACCGTTCAAAATTTAGTTTCATCATTCAAGTGATTTTATTTGTTTCAGTGTGCACCATTAAGCTTCCCTAAGATTGTTAGCATACATTTTTCTTTTCTGCCTACTTTCATTCAGTTTTACCGCACAAGTGTCGATGACTCTGTGATAGTAGGTCTGCTCACTATATATATATATATATATATATATATATATATATATATATATATATATATATATATATATATATATATATATATATATATATATGCTGACTGATTAATGAAACGTCATCAATATGTTTCAGGATTTTATCATAAACTGCACACCCTGCAAACGAACACTTTAATATCAATATAATTGTGTTGAATAAAGACTCTGCTTAGATTCGCAGTCTAGAGCATACTTCGAGTGAAAACTGACTAGCAGCGGAAGTGTGTTTTCCATTTATCATCTGTAAAGTAATGCTTTAGGATAGATAGATTTGACGCGTTAGTTCATCCGACAACTAGACGCTACGTGGTTATATATGTTGATCAATTTACTTATCATTGCAGTAGTTGTATCATTGTATTAGTTTTTTTTTTATTACAGCTTGATTCCACACTGTATTTTTGGTACAAGTATAGAATTATCAGCATATGATATCGGTAGCCCAAATTTAGCAGACCGACCATAGTTATCAGGTGTGCGTCGGCCGGGGATCGAACCCCGGACCATGTGCATGGCCGGCAAGAGTCCTAACCACTGTGCCCATTTAACTGTCTTATCTCAATTCGAAGAAGCATAATATAAAACAAAGCATATATATGGTTTTTAATTGAAAAAATAATTATGTTAGCTTATCAATAAATTCTTTTCACATATATATATATATATATATATGTTCACTTGATGTTCAGTATTTGCATTTGTCTTTTTAAACTGTTACCATCTGTACAAAAAGCATAATCACATCATTTGCATCGTCATAATCATTAATGTGCATAATCGTTCTCATTACAAAACTGTTTCTTTTCCGTAGAGAGAAGAGGAAAAATAAATAAGATCAGTGGCTGTGTGTAGGGGATGACAGAAAAAAAGGACAAAAGCAAAAGTGGAAAACAAGAATTAAAATTGTTCAAAGGCCGGCAGTTCCTCTTCTAACCAGCATAACATTGTAATAAGGAATGTATAATTATGGTTGATTTTTGAAGTTCTGCACCCTTTTTTACTTACTATTGCTGTGCACTTTAACACCAACCAGTGTTCCAATGACTTAAAAATCACTGAATCACTTGTCGTTAGCTCCTCTGAAAATTTTAATGAAGCCTGACTTCAGTCAGGCAGGTGATTCACCTCATCCAGATATCTTAGGTAGTCAAGAGATATTTGGAAGCGAGTGGACTATGATATTTGTTAGAAGAGGTGATAAGAAGTAGGAAAGGTTATCTTGACTTAAAATATTGCAAAGTAGGAAAATTGGTAACCGCTGAACAGGGAACACATACAGTTTGAATTATTATTATTATTATTAGTAGTAGTAGTAAGCAGGAAATTGAGATCAGTAAGAAAAAAAAGTTGATTTGACAATGAAAAAGTGAATACGTATGCGCGATAAATAAACAATCAGTAAGCATCTTTATAGTATATCCTTTTTGTCATTCCTTTTCTTCTTCTTCATCATCGTTGTCGTTAACATAAAGGCCAAATAGAGTCTGTTAATTGTTTATATCCTGTGCTCTAATTTTAACATTTCAAAGGTTGTTTAAAGTAATGTGAAACAAGAAGTTGAGTTGTCAGCGTTCTCTCCAGTGGTTGATCAAGTTATCTCTGATATGTGGCATACGTTATGACATAAAAAGAAGTTGAGTGATTTATTTCTCTCCTAAAATAAAATAATTTGGTAACCATAGTTGACCGCACTATGACACTTAAAATGAGCATTGGTTTATGTGCGTATGTAGGTATGTATATATATATTTAAAAAAAACAGCAACCATAACGAGCAGAGAAATACGATATTTTTGTAGAATTCGAATCAACTGGTTTTGCCATTATCATCCAGAATGTCACGTAAAATAACTTTTCTTTTTTATCATGTTATAATTTCTGGATTAATTTGACAAGATCTATCAGAAATATAAGAATTTGAATCCAACTGTAACTGTACAGGAGATTGTTCATGCGAATATTTTTGCTCATGTTGACTTTGCACACACTGACCTCTTGTTAAAGCGGGTAACGGTAATGTCTGGGAGGAATAATAACTCATGGGATTAGTGCATACTGTAGTGTTGTGTAATAAATTACCCAGTTTATGTGGTGTATTCAGAAGTGCTGAATAATGACAATGATCTAAACAGTTGACATTAATAGTACTATCAGTGTTCTTCCAATCAATTGTATATTCATCATTGCCCGGTCTTACTGTTGTCGGAGTATTCAGGTAAATTGAATCTACATTTGAATAGGAAACATAATTCTGTTGATAATATCCAAAATCAGGTGGTCTGTGTTGATTTGATGATTTTAAAGGATGTGAATTATTCGCACCAGTTGGATCACTGATTGAACAGGCAGTCTGACGACTATTTAATCTACTTGTTAATTTGTCAGGAAAAGTAGAATGCTTGCCTGGTGTTAATTGATTAGGATTATTCAATTCTGAATCTTCTTGACGCTTTATTGATTCGAATGGTATTTGTGTTAATGTTACTTTTTTCTGAGGCAGTTTTCCTGAGTGAGTAGTGATAAAGGAATCATATAATGTTTGATTTTGGAGTGCAGGAATATTAGTGAGCAATTCAACTATTGATGGTACGGATAAGTTCTTATGCAGCACTGGAGTTTCATCAGTTTTAGGACAATAATCGCTAGTTATGTTGTAAAGTGATGAATCTGGTGAAAGCGGACTTAATGATTGGTCATGGGTAAGTGAATAGTCATTGTTATAAGTAAATTTTAAGTCTGTATTGCAGTGATTTTGTCCATTCGGATGATGATGATGATGGTGGTGGTGTTGATGATGATGACGACGTCGATGATGATGGTAGTGGTAATGCATATAGGGATCAGTCATCATAATTTGTGCCATTGTCATTGATTTTGTCGACAGTTCTCTAGTTAAATCTGTGTCAAATAGTGGATTTAGGAATACTTTGGACGGCTGAGTATTGTTTACTTTAGGTAATGGTAAATTAGTTGCGTGATAATTAGACTTGGAAACATTGTTTTCCTAATGATATAAAGCAGCAGAAATGATTATATATATATATATATATATATATATATATATATATATTGGTTACCAAAGATAAAGTGTGATTAAGCACCCCCATTAAACAAGCATAATAGACGTTGGTTACGCCCAACGTTATGTTGTAGATTTGCTGAAAGTAGGCTTATTATTATTATCCATCCAAGTAAACGATAAAATACCCAAAATCAAAATTGTTGGTAGGCTATGTGATCTGCATAACACATACACTGATGTTATTAATACCAGTAAAGAGTAGTTGAAATGGCATTTTAACCAAACTTATTAACTTGGAGGTTTCATATGTGTTGTCTTTATAACACATTTGTCTGTATTCCGTCTATCTTTAGCCCTAAAGTTCACTATATATTATATACATATATATATATTTATCGTTTACATGCAAAACTGACATTTACATAGTTACTTTTCAATAATATGTATGCAAAATATGCATGACGCTAATGCCTATACAGTGTTGATTACACTTACAGTTTGTTTTGATCGCTTACACACTGAATGATCTTATATATTACACGTTTCAGCAGGGTGGTGAAGGAAGAAGAATAAGAATCAAAGTTATTCATAAAAAGGCTTCTTTCCTTCTTTTTCATAACAACATGAATGAATTAATAAGTAAGATACGGGTTTCTTTTCATCTTACCTTGAGGTATTCAGTGATCTCAGAACTGTGCACTGCCAGCCATACAGATGTTACACTTGATGGGTGTGAGCATAAGTACTCGAATATTCAGTATAAACAAGTCAAAAATCATGATATTTTCAGATAACAGCATATAATAATAATAGTTTTTGGTGGCATCTTTCCAATAAATGAAGTTACATTGAAAACCTTACAGTGTTAGCGAGTAAAAAACTCTGCAGAAAAGTTGTGTTAATCACTCATTTCATCGTAGATGTTCTCAAGGGTATGTATACAACTTTTGATAACTACGCGGATATGTTTGGACGATATTTTTGGAAGTGTCACAAACAGTTTTCTGGGCAGTATTTATAGGTCACATAAAATGATCCTTTTTTGAAGAACTAAAGAATACTAATCAGGCCGTAATTACTACGAAATTTGAGAGAAATGAAACAGTGTAAAACATCTAGAGAATTCCTCCTGTTTGTGTATTTCATCTTTCGGATGAAGAAAAATATCTGATTTACTTGATCGCTCTGTCAACACTGCTGCTAAGCGAAAAGAAAAACTGGTACCAAATGACGAATAATTAGTCAGTCACAAATCCAGATGGAGGCCGGTTGGTGACATCGTGCGTCAGGCTCGAGTGGAACCCGAAAGGGAAGCGGTGAGTGGGACATCAGTGCAAGGGTGAAATGGAGGAGATCATGTGAGGAGGAGCTGAACCAGTATGGACTAACATGGATGCAGGTGAAAAGTATGGCAAAAGACAGAAGCAAGTGGAGACGTGCAGTTGAAGCCCTATGTTCCACTAGGAACCCACGGGAACAATAATAAATCAAGATGGTTGACAGTACTACCTATTATGTGAAGCTTTCCATTAGACGTAAAAACATAATTAACAAATAAATTTATGATCTGGGATTTTGTAGGGAATTTCAGGTCCACTGAGTCCTGAGACGATTTACGCAAAATTAGAAACACTAACAAGTAGTATATATCAGTTAGGGAACAGCTGAAAACCAGGGAGTATTGTACTGTTTCGTCCTAGTTTACACCCCTTCATCAGTATGCACCCAGAACCTTCCGGTGCTGAGATAAGCTAGTATGCCACTCAGTCATTGGTGGAATCGTGCTAAAATCACAAATTAGTTGAATTTGGAATTCATAAACCGTTGGATAAGGTCCCAGTGGCTGAATGATATATGACCGGAACGTCCAAAACACGGTTGGTGCGTAATGCTGAAGAGTCCAGTGGTTCTCTAATTGACATCAACTTGGAACAAATCAATGAATCGCCTATTCAATTTGAGAATTTCGAATAGATTCGTATTCAACAAATTTGTATACTGAGCGCTAGACGGAGGCATTATTGATGCACGAGTAGCAGCTGGTTAATAAACAGTAGTTACCGCTTCTGTTTGTAGCTTACATTCAGTCATTACCATTCCTTCCAGAAGTAATTTACTAGACTAATTTTATCTTGTATAGTCTTTTTAAGGAATGATTTATTAGTTTTTTTCGTGTAAACTGGATGTTTTTTTTTTAAACAGAGTCTTCAGTGCTTGCCTTCACCGTGAATTTTATTTTGACTCCATTTTTAGTAGTATTTTTGTGGCTGTCTGGCAACATTTCAGAAATATTTTGAGGTCATTTTAACAGCAAATGTCAGACAACATGACATTTATTCTAGATCTGCTACAAGAGACTGTTGCCAACCAAAAATAACATCACGTAAAATGAGGAACAATGATGAATTCACTGTGTGCCTTTTCAACAAAAAGAAAAAGTTTGGGATTGGGGATTAAACACTGTATAACTACGATTGCCTTTCACTCGATTATCTATCTATCTATCTGTTATTATTATTATTTTGATTTCTTTTTTACGACTTCTAAGAAGTTTTATTGTGTACAAAGACCAGTGCTTATACCTACTTGTTACTTCATTGAATATGTATATTTGCAAATACACTACCAGTCTAGGAGGTCTATGCATTACGGTTAACATTCTAGACACATTAATGTTAATAAATTACAGCCTGTGTTTTCCATACAGAGAAAATTCACCATGCGGATGAAAGGCTATTTTGTTTACCCCGATACAGGTGCATTAGTAATACAATTTGTTGTGTGACGTAAACCTAATCACACAATGCACGTACAAGAAGAAATATAGTAAATGCATTTCGGAGTCAGTGGGATTAAACTCATTAAATAGGAAAAAGAAGATAAATTTACAGAGAGTAAATCACCATTTGTAAAGAAAATAAATAAATAAGACGTGTCTGAGAAAAGCCAACAGAACTGCAGCTGATGTTTAATCCTGCTTAAACACATATTTATGAGGAAGACTACTTATATTCACACTGAAGGTGGCTGACACTGACATTAATAGTAATTTTCAATTAATTTCGAATTTTCAAAGCCAACCACTATTTAGGCTTTAACCAAAACGGTTCACATCGCTTGCAAGTGCAGGAGGGTTTAAAGCGGACGAATTCCATTAGGTCAACAGAATCGAAATTTGCAGAATACGTAGTTATCAGAAAACAGCTAATACCAGCCATACTCTACCAAGACTTTCTAGCTGACAAGTCTCATTACGGATATTAGTCATCTTGTTGTTAACTAGACTCTGTCCTGCATTACATTTTCTGTAAAATGTCTTATCTCTAAGGGAAATACTTTCGTCGAAATACAACGACGTAATTAGCCATGATCAGTATGAACAATTAACTCTTCAGTGCAATGACGGTTATCCGATTTTAAGACTTAGACATATTTGTTATCCTAGGCAATCAAAGTTCACTATATAAAAAAGAAACTTATCGTAAATCATTATTCTATGACAAAGTTATATAACAGAAATTGAAATTATCATTATTTCTACTTTTTCTATACTTACCGAAGCATCTTGTTCCCAGACAGATGATTTTTCCACAGGTGGACATGTTTTATTTGATGATTGTCGTTTTTTATAGCTAAAATTTAGATATATTTTTTTAAATAGTAAAAAATAGCTATTTTCAGTATTTTCATAGGATAAATAGGCAAGTTTCGATTGGAGAAAAAAAAGACACTTATTATTTAGTGCTAATAAAATAATAATACTGAGCGTAAGTAAGAGCACACCTGTCCGTGTAGGCGGATTCATGATCAATATCGGATAATCCTAAGTATTGATACCCTATCGCCAATCGTGTTTCAGTCAATATAGATAACAAATTATAATGGAAAATAAGCTATTTCAAACATATTTAAGTGTTGGTTTGTAGGGATTTGGTTGATTGGTTACAGGATTTCATCATGAGCTGACATTGGTTAGAGAACCATTCGAAAACCACCAACGAGTACTGGACAGCTGTTTCGTTCCATTGTTTGGGACTCTTCATCAGTACACGTCCACTGCCAGAGTTCGAACCCAGTACTTTCTGGTTACAAAGCGAGCTAGCTCGTATACCATTAAGCCACTAGGACCATTACTCCTAGGTTTTCCAACGGCTCTCTAACCAATGTCAGCTCATGATGAAATCCTGTAACCAATCATATCTCTACAAACCAACACTTAAATATCGATGAGATGCTCACAAGCGAATTGCCCTATTCAAGTAGGTAGTTACCTGGGGTTCTAGTGAGAAGTCGTGACCAGTAGGGTGCAGAAGGTCGGGTGTGAGGACAAATACTTGCTGAAGACATTGGCTAGCGGTTGCGCTATGTCGTGAATTGGCAGAAGCTGGGATTCATGGACTGGCCATTGGATTGGCGGGTCCCAGTGGCTTACTGGTATACGAGCTAGCTCGCTTTGTAACCAGAAAGTACTGGGTTCGAACTCTGGCAGTGGACGTGTACTGATGAAGAGTCCCAAACAATGGAACGAAACAGCTGTCCAGTACTCGTTGGTGGTTTTCGAATGGTTCTCTAACCAATGTCAGCTCATGATGAAATCCTGTAACCAATCAACCAAATCCCTGCAGACCAATACTTGAAGATGAGTTATTCATTTGTTGTTATACAAACGTCATGTCATACAGTGAGGAAGGTTATCCTGTGGTGTATCTACTTCCATTCGGTATAGTAATTAGTAAATGTGTTTTACAGGTTTTGAAAATTCTTTATATTTCTTATGACATCCCCAGTTATAATTAAGGTGTGCTATCTAACCGGTAGTACAGTGCATTGTTTTCACTTGTAATTAAGATTGGGAACACTGATTCATTGTCTTGAATAAATTGGGATTAACTCACCCCACTGGTAGTCATCTCATTCTGGTGACAGATACTCTCATTTATACCCTAATACATGGAGTGAAACTCATAGTGTCTAACTAATTAATTAAATAATTAATTAACACAAATTTTTAGAAAATCCTTAAGATAATTTACCAAAACCTGGTAATAACATTATTACGATAGCAAAATAACAGACATTGAAGGGGAAAGAAGATATCTCTCTTACAACTGTAGAATAAATTTGTATATACAGACACAGATGGCAGCTGTTGTGTCTCATTATACGGTCTGTTAGCGAAATCCGATTATATACACAGAAAACTAAATACTGCTGTTGAGTGATTAAGTGAAATCAATACAGAAGATAAGCCTGTCCATTAGTTAGGTTTTCTTTTAGCACCTAGAATATACATATATATATCTTGAATTTTGAAAAAAGTGTACACTAGTGAAACGAAAGATTACCTTATGGTCACACAGCTCAAATTTTATTAAGCCTACACCAACGTAACCAATATGTTCTAAAGTTAAGCTACTAATTGTCCATTGAAGCGAATTCAGCAAAAGAATTGAAGCCGTCCAACGATGTATAATGCATAAACTGATATGCTGAAGCTAGTAGTAAACTATCTAGTTGATTGCAAATATTCTGGGCCTCATCAGAGTTTTCACCTCATCAGTAGTAATGCAGTGGGATTCTTCAAGTGCAAATGCTCAAACCTACCAATTTATGCTAAGTAGAGCTTCCTGGATCTGCAGTTGTGCTGCTTAACAGTAGTCGTACAAACTGACTTTGTTCGTGGAAAACATTACAACTGATTTACAGAGAAGACTTCCGGAAACACATCTGAACCCAGTTTTAAATACTAACTAGTCAGCGTGTAAACAAAGTATCATCACTTTTAAGTTGAATTTGTTCAAAGGAGTACGCGTATGCACAGATAAAAAAAAGTATATTTTATAGTTGTATCTGGTCTGCGCGTCCACTTTGAAAGGTAAATGAAACTTGTATAAAAGAAGTATAACAGATTATTGTTTTCGAATCGGCTAACTAAGGGAAGTTGTTTCTAAGCCATTATTGTATTCTATTTATTTATTTATATTTTTTGTGGAAAACTAAGTATAATATCAGCAAATAATTATGTCCGAAAAAATGTACCGACCACTGGAACTGTTACACTGAAGACCATTAGTGGTGGATGTCGAAATGAATAGCAGTAACCTAATATAATCTAATATTTTACCTAACCTGAATATTTCATGAACGTAACAGGCCTACAGATATCTGCACCAGTGTTCAACGAGATACTTCTGACTCACAATATACAAGACGAATTAACCTATTGTGGTACAGTGCAGCTTAATGACACAATAACACAGCGGGAAAACCCTTCAAAAACTAATGTAAAGACAGCAGCAAGGTAGACAGAGACCAACTGGACTTAAAATGAAAAGAATGTTTAAAATAAGAGTATTTAATACCTTTACGTTCCCAATGAAACAGAGGGCTTCAAGGATAAGGTTTGGAGATTCGGTAGCAGTGGTGTTTGATTTTCACGGGATGGGTTTGCTAACCTCTTTCCCAACCTTTCCTCTTTACTAGTCTAATTACTCGCTTAGCGAGGTAAAAGAAGAGTGCATTGAACTCTGAACCACCTGCGTGGTCGGCAACCATTCTACGTCTGTACCACCGACGTGCTATATATATATATATATATATATATATATATATATATATATATATATATATATATATATATATAAAGAAATTTATAAAACACGACAAGTTATCTGCAACAAGAATAATTTGAGTGAAAATTTATACTTTATAGTCATGATGGCAGGAACAACACAATACGTGGTCAGTGTACGGTATTTCGATGTCACAAGTAAGTAGGAATCTCAAGTCACTTAGGAACGCTATGCGACAAAACTGTTGTTATAAAAAGTACAATTATAGTATAAGGAGAATAAAATAATTCCATTACCTACACAACAGTAGGTATTCGTGTTTACTTTATTCTGTAATAAGTTCTTATTCTCTTTCTCCTTAAAATGTGTATAATGCTTGTCGAAATTCAAAAAGAAATTTATGATGGCTACCTTAAGGAAAGCATACTCTAATCCTCATAGGCGAAATTACTGGAGATATTACAAAACATCATCGTTGAAGAGGTCTCTTTCGAGAAAGCATTCGCTACAACTGAGTACTTTTCAAAAGAAGAATTGGAAACAATTCATTCAGGATCGAAAATTCATTCGGGAATCGATAAGGTCAAGCAGTGGCTTCCGTGCACTTAGTTATATGGTCCGTATTTATTTAAATTATTATCATAAGTATTTGTGAATACGTAGATGAATTTAGATACAAGGGAAAGGTCGAAAATAATAACAGATCAGTTCCACCCACTTGGGAAGACATGATCAGTAGGGTGCACCAGGTTGAAAGTGAGGAAGTAACTCATAGAAGAAGATATTATGAAGTGGTCACGCTATGTCATGAATTGACAGAGGTTGGAATTTATTGGTAAGCCATTGGATTGGTGGGTCCCAATGGCTTAATGGTCTACGAGCTATCTCACCTTGAAGCCAGAAGGTCCTGGGTTCGAACCTAGTTGATAGTGAGTGCATACTGATGAAGAGTACCTGAGGTCAGCTCATGATGAAATCCTTTAACCAATCAAACAAAATCACTACTTGAAAATAATGAACAACCATTTGCTTTGGGTCAGACATTTACTGTACTATAGGATGTTACTCGTAATTCACCAACTGTCTTATAACTTTAGCTTAATCTGTAAGATTCGACAGGCGAAATACTAGGTGTAAGTATCTAAATTTCATTGTTTCTTTGCATTTTTTACAACAAGTCACCTAGGTGATTATTGTTTAAAGTGTTAGAAAAGAGTTCTCATTAGTGATAATTTTTAACATGTAATAGTTTGCCTATTAAGATATGAAAAAGAGACGAACGAATAGTTCAGCGTACAGTTACTTTTCATACCGTCTTTATCAGCCTGAAGTGAATTGTACGAAGGTAACACAAACTTTTTTATGCCTAGTAACTTGGAGAATGACACTGTGATGAACTCTATCCTTAAAACACTCAAACACAATAAGCAACTGATCTTAAGGCTTGCCTTCGCCTTACACTCGAAGCTAATTATTACTCCACTTTCAAAATCGACGTTCACACATTTAACTGGCAACGGTAGTTATTTCAAGACTGAAATACTTCCAACAGATGCTGTGCATCAGTTACAGAACTGTTGAAGATATTCTTATCAAATTCTTCATGGTTTGGCAGGCTTTTATCGAATTCTGAGTGATCATTAGCACATTTCATATGGAAAGATTCTCACAGAGCTTGTTAACTGGAAATGCAAAACTCGAACAGCCTTCAGTATGAATTTGAGCTGCAGAGGAATGATCACTGGGACAGAGGAGACTTGAAGTTATGCAACTAATACGACAAAACTGACTGCTATTGAATCAAACATAACTTATGATAGGTTTAAACTGCATTCTGGTATTTAGCCTAGAGCGCATATTGTTGGAAGATTTGAAATAAAAGTTATACAGTCTCTCAAGGCTTCCTAAATGACTTCAGGTGATAATTTGTAATTGTTTTTAATTCCTAACAGTAATTAGTTATATATATATATATATATATATATATATATATATATATATATATATATATATATATGTCAGCCTTATTTCTTCTATCCTCGTTCTGAGTTCATCAAAACCAAGAGCTCATAACTAAAAAACGTCAATAATATTTTTATTATTATTATTCACATCTTCTGTCACAAATTTGTCGACTTACCATATTTGAAATATTGAACATATAAAGAAAAACAAAAGCAATAAAAGCAGAACACTGATTGCTGAAAATAAGAGAACACGAGCAAAATTTGATTCACAGCCTGATGAAAATAAAGAAAAAGAAGAAAAGAGATAATAAATCAGACTGAGTTTAACACCTGATTGATCTCTTCCATTCACAGACTAAACCTGAAAGAAAATGTGAGTCATACATGAGAATTTAGAATAACTGTCTAATGTCCTGTTACCTGAGCTATATTGGACAGATGCTAGATAAATGGGTTTAGCTTTATTCTCAATGCAGAAGCTGCTCTTTCATTGGGACGCAGAGACTAGTAGTAGTTCTTAGTTTCACCGATATAAAACAGTTCTTTAGGTCTAACTAGTTCTGATTCGATCAGGAGTTGACGTCAGTTAGAGAACCGTAGGGAAACTTAGGAGTATTGGACATCTGTTTGGCCCCAGCTAGCACCCACTAGAGTTCACGTATTGGCAAAAGCTGAGATTCATGGGCTGAATGGTTTGCTAACTCGCCTTGTAATCCGAAGTTTCTGAGTTCGAACCTCGGTGGATGTCTACTGTTGAAGAGTCCCAAAATAGGTTGAAACAGCTGTCCAGTACTCAGTCACCTAATTGATGCGAACTCGTGATCAAATCTGTCACCAGTCAAATCCCCGTGAACCAACACTTGGCACATGGTTCTGTAATCATAGCAGGTAAAGTTTACAGAAAAACAGTGTCAATTGTTCTTATTATTTCAATTGAAGAGGGAAAAATTCTTGATGTACTTATGATACTGAGACAAGACATATAAATATATATATATACTTGTTCAAAGCGAATCCTGATTTGCCAAACTACCATGAAATCTCAATGTGGTCACCATTTCCCCTCATATAATACATGTCGTTATTTGATTTTAATGACTTTAGGTAAGCTGGTTAAGCGCTTAGTATTTCCTGATGGAATAACAACAACTCTGTTGTATGCAATTCAAGGCTCTTTTTTGTTGTTGTTTGGAATGACCAAATTGTGTGTGTGTGTGTTTGTGATGTATGCAAGGCACTAACTAAACAGTAATGACAACAAATCCCCCAATCACACTGAAAAGTAATAGTGTTTTGCATAATTTCCTTGAAAATTCATTGACAATTAACTTGAGTAAGTCGCACAATCAAGTATGGATACGTAATCCATTTAGACGGAATAAAAAAATGATGAGTAATTTTACACATAAACTCTTTACAATATGTTATTCCTATTTTCTGATTACTCGACAATAGGATTGGATATATATTAGGAGCTACTATCAAGCGATTTCAGGCAAAATTTTGAAAGATGACTTTTAAGTGAAATTTAAGTGGATTCTAAGAAATTATCGTTTAATTGCATGAAGGGTTTCATCATGAGCTGACATCGGTTAGAGAATCACTGGATTACCAGCTGGGAGTAGGGGACAGCTGTTCATTTCGTCCTAGTTCGGAACTCTTCATCAGTATGCACTCATCACCAGAGTTTGAACCCAGGACCTTCTGGTTACAAGACGAGATAGCTCGTAGACCATTAAGCCACTGGGACCCGATCCAATGTCCAGTCCATGAATTCTAACTTCTGCCAATTCACGACATAGCGCGACCATTTCGGAATGTCTTCTTTGATGAGGTACTGCCTCATCTTCAACCTGCTGTACCCTACTGGTCACGGCTTCCCACTAGAACCTCAGGTTAACTGCCTGATTAGGACCAGTAGCTAGTGAGCATCAGATCAGTTTTCAAGTATTGGTTTTGTAGGGATTTTTGTTTGATTGGATGATGGATTTCAGTTAGAGAACCACTGATGTCAGCTCATGAGGAAATCCTCCATACAATCAAACAAAAATCCCTACAAAAACCAATACTTGAAAATTATCGTTTGGTTGTATTCTGTGACATCTCATTATAACAGTTCCGGAAATTGAATTTCTAATCAATTCTTTGTATTCTGAGATGAGTTTAGTTCAACTTGTCTACTTCCTTTCATATTTGCAGTGATTTGTGATAATGTGTGAACTTTTATGAAGGGCAGTTGACTTTTCGAAAATATATGTAACTCATAACACGAGAAACAGACCCAGGTTTGGTCATACATTTAAGAGCGAAGAATCGGGAGAGAGAGAGAGATCAATGAAAATAAAGAGGACAAAATAAACAAGAATAGAGATGAATGGATTATTGATGACTGACAAAGTATGTTTGTAAACTTGTAGGGGATGGAAAGTGATTGTATATATCTTGCAAGTATACTGCGAAGAATTATTCACCGCTGAATTCTTATATCTCGTCGACAACTTCCAAACTAACAATTCTATTTCTTTCAGTAACCGGGAAAAACATCAATATTCTTGTGTAGTTTGTGTCTAGCTTCAAATATTCTTACTTGCACAACAGATGACGCAATACTTTAAACAAATACGAGCAAATGACACAATAAATTACAGATTACGTGTATTCTCTTCACAGTATCGTACGTAACAAGGCATATATCATCTTTGGTATATAGTTTGCTAAAAACTGTGAACATAAAATCGACTAGCGTTCAGTAAGTTTTCTTCTTCTGCCTCATTCTGTGTTTATGAACTGATGGTGGAACGTTTACACATATCTTTAAATTGACAGCATGATAATAACGTAATAGGATGTAAAGATGGAGATCTCAGCACAGCTGTTTGATTTCTACCAACTGAGTAGACCACTATTATTTTCCGCATTCATCAGAGATTATACCCAACCACCGTGTGAAAGAATAATGCATAATTCCTCTTTGCACGAAGCCACACTGATAGTCTAGCCTAGTTGTCTACTGTCAATTCTCTTCACAAAGAATTAGGCAGCGAATTAATTCGGTTGTTAAACACTGTTGCGATCATATGAGGTAGGTCTGTGATGATGATGTCACATATGCTATCATGTGCGACACATAGCAGCCAGAGAAAATCTTGATGAGTACAGTGGAGTTACGACCTCACCAAAAAAAAAACTGAATCACATGACCCAGACTTCTTCACCTTAAGTCATCAGTTACGTGGCAAGTTTGTAAAATGCGTGTATGCAGAATTATTTATCTGCCTCAAATTTAAATTGATGCTGGATAATTACTTCTCACTCAAGGATCACACCACTATGATGAAGCTAAAGCGTAACTGTGTGAAATATATTATCTGACTCTGACTTTCAAACACAGTCAGTGATTTTCATTCAGGTAATATACTTGGTATTATGGGAAGGATTATCATTAGAGTTTTCAAAGAGTCTAGGAGAAATCCTAATATAATTAGGTTGTTTTGTGTAGGAAAGCACGCAAATATAACACATTCTATAAGTAGCAGTGATCTTTCTGAGTAATATAATTGTTCATGACTAATCCTCATCCAGACATTGATGAAAAGAAAAGACGTAGTTCAGCGAAGAGTCTCTTTTCGGCGGCTAATTCATTCACTCAGCTGTACAATCGCAATCATACATACTTTTTTTGTATTTATGTGTCCAATAAGAATAAAGATAAATTAGGGTTATTATTGTGAAGACATTTTCAAAAATGCGATGAGTAATCAAACTGTGACTAGAGGAGGGGGTGAATATTAGTAAGAGGCTAGTGGTGATATGTTTTCAAAAAAACATATTCATTAACACATAAAAGAATTCGGATAAGCGTGATACAGTTGCGTAATAGGATGAAAAGTTTAATGAATGAGTTGTGATTTGGATTCACATAGAGACAAAGGAAAAAATGTGGATTATGTAAGAGTTCTAAAATTATAAATAATATAAGGAGTTAGGAAAAAACAAACACACAAACTTCAAGTCAGTAAAAGTCAACACGGTTGTTACCGTGTTACCTCAGAAGTGGTAGAATAATTTTCTTTTGTATACATAACTCTGGTTTCTTCAAATGGATGTCTGAGGCTTCGGCAATACAAAGGGAACGAAAGCGTGTTGACTTCGGTAGGTTGTTCTTCATTTTGTAGAAGGCGTTTGTTGAGATGGAATGCTTAGTGTTGACCAGATGCTCGATTATCGCACTCCTTATACAACCGCTATTATCTTTTCACAGCCTTGCGGGATAGTGTTCTTGAATCCTTTTGGACAGTTTACGCGTCGATATTTTCCTTTTTTTTTCTATGTGCATCATTTCTTAGTGAGCATGTCTTTCAGTGTGTCTAGACATCTACTCACTTACTGGTGTAAATTTTAATAGTGACAAAATATTACGCTTCGATATATCAGCAAAAGCAGATTTCTTTTTTGCAGAGTATGACGTGTTTTTTTTTCTTAAAATTCAGATGTTAAGATATAAAGGTGAACAGTGATTGTGTTAGCAGGTCAGTATACTTAAATATACGTAATAATTGTAAGGCAGTAAAACCTGAGTGTTTCTCTTCTAAGCATGGAATATATTTGAGTAGTTTAGAAAAATAAATACAGACAAATAACCGAAAAGTAGTGATTGATAATTTTATTATGCGCTGTAAAATATAATTAGAATTTTTTTTCTTCTGAAAATGTTTACATCTTCTGATTTTCTTGTGCTTCATATGTTAGCCTAGTCTTAAATCTGTGCGAGACAATCCAATCATTTGGACTAAAGTCAGTTCCAGAAAAACCAACTGGAAATAAGGAAAAAGGCGGAAACAGGTCGGCAGGTGAACCATTTCAGTCTAAAACCTACTTTTGTAACATGTGGAGGATACGGAAGTAAAGCAGGGAGAATTTTGAGTTTTTCTAATGAAAATACGAGAAGAGTATTGCTTGGCTGTGTGTCTTAATTCTTCTATATATGTAGTACAGTCAGAAAATCTGTGAGATATAATACAATATAGCTGATACTGTGTGAAAGGTTGTCAGGGGTAAACTGTACTACTCACTGAATGAAAGATCTCCGGCATACTTGAGTAATACAGAAGATTTGAAGCTCAGGTGTATGACTTGCAATTAGTAGTGTTCTCTGAACTGGTTGGTTTAGTTGCGGAGCTTTCGTCGTCAGTTCACGTTATGCTGAAAACTGCATTGTCCAGAAGGATACCGAAAGCTCCGCAACTAAACCAACCAGCTCAAAGAACACTTGA